ACTGAAGAATGGTGGAAATGTAGGCGTGTGAATGCTCAAGCTGGTGTGTTTTCGTGCGTGCGTGCGTGCGCCTGTACATTGGCCTACGGCGTGGAGGAGAGGAGAGAATGAAAACAATTTTACTACTTAATCAGAAATGAAGGGAGGACGTTGGAAGGGGGGATGCTCGAAAAGAGGTCGTTCGAAGAGAGGAGTAGAGATGGGTCGGACGGGATGTAGGCAAGAGAGGGTGGAGATGATGGGGTCGTGGGGGTAGAATGACGAAGCATGAAGGAGAGCAGACAGGCGTCTGTTTTAGAGGATAAAAACACCAAGCAGCAATCGTTAAATGACAGCTCAAACAGAAAAAATGCATACATACAGTGGCACACTTATGCTCGCAAGTGAATACGCAAAATCATACAAGCATGCGTGCAAATACACAAGAATATATTCACTTGAATGGGCAGGCCGAACAAGGGGAGGCCTCCAAGATGAAGGGGGAATATTTTAAATGCCTGATTTGACTTGGTCAGGGAGATAAAAGAGGACAGTCAAACAATCTATTTGAATGCATGCTTACATTAAGAGAAATCAATTTTATTGTCATCATCATGAAGGATCGTAGTTATGGCCAAATGGAATTTAGTAATGTAGGAAAAAAAGTAACACAAGATTCTGCTTACGGTCTGCCACTTCCGGAAAATCCACGCATTGATCCGTCAAACAGCATCTATAAAGGCAGGAATAAAAAGGGGAGAGACGGATTAAAAAAGGTGAGAATAAAATTTCGAAAAGCATATATGGGATGTCTAAAAACTCGAGAATAAAAGCCGACTGAGAATGTGAACCTCCTAGGTAATCCAAAAGATACACGCTACCATTTAATTCTGGAGATGATACACAACTAGTCAGAATTGGAATAGAGAAAATCTGCAAAATCAAGAATAAAAGCGAAAACGATAAAAGAATCCAACGGAATGCCGACATTGTGAGTTTATTCTTACAACTATACAATTTCTATTATGTAAAGCACGAAATTGTATTTATTATTTTTTAAATTTATAAATA